CCCCCTCCTAGAGTGAGCCTAGAGCACCCCCTTTCCCCTGCTGCCCCTAGGTAAGGCAGTGGCTGTCCCATCCGTCTTGGTCGCTGGGGGAACACGGCCAGGCGTGACCACTATTACATCCCTGGGAGGTGTTCCTGCCTGCCCGCCTCTTCCTCTCCTTATCTGGATCTACACTTATCACCAGCATGAACGGCCTCTTCCATGACCCTTATCGCAAGGTCGTATCTTATCGCGCAACTTGAACTCATCTGTCTCTGCATAAAATAATTCCAGGTCGCACAACCTCTGTCTGACCTTGTCTGACTGCTCGTTCGTCTCTTGCTAGCACAGCTTCCTCTGACCTTATTTGGCCCTGCGCTTAATTGCCGGGTCGCAGATCAACACATCTGGCGTTGATTTGTTAAAGCAATGCTTTTGTTTACATACGGACGACGTGTGTGCACTTTGTGTGCCTGTGTGGGTTTGCGTGTGACACACACAAATACACACGTGCAAAAGGAAAGAAAGAGAGAGATCCACAGAGGGGTAGGATGGAAGCGAAAGAGAAAGAGAGAACGAGGCAGACAGAGACAGAGAAAGAGAGAGGAGAGAGGGAGAGAAAGAGAGAGAGGGTGGGGGGGAGAGACAAACAGAGACAAAGAGACAGACAGACAGAATACTTCCCCGTGATGTAATATACCATGTGTGAAGGCTAGCATTGCCAGGACGTGTACATCTACGTCAAGATGGATTATTTTCTGCGGTAGAGACATGTCATATAGAAGCCCATGTTCGAAAGAGCGCATACATCTACCTTTCCTTTTCGATTCTTGGTGTAATTATTCTATTCTATATCTATAAGTAAAAAAATGAAATAAGATAAACGCGATTGATGCAAAACATTTTCATGGACTTTATTCCGCTTCTAGACGTATTCAGGTCCCGGCGATTTCAACGCGTCTCAAGAAACTAATCCAAGTTCTTTATTTTCATTATTATCTACAGAAAGCATTAAAGAAATTCGTTCATTTTATCAACATTTAACTAATACTTTACCACGTATTTAATTTCTCTAAAAATACATGTGAATTCATTTTTTTCCTTTCTTTTCTCTCTTTTGAAATGCTGATCCTTGCAAATATAAAAGGCATGTGAACAAATATATTTCTTTTTCCTATCAAGATGCATTCAACTGTCGTGATTACAATGTATT